TTGTTGCTTCTATTCTGCTATTGATACACATAGCTTGGAAATATGGGAATTGAGCTAACATACCTATTGCAATATCTAAAACTCTGATAAACTGAAAGGGGGAAAAATCAACAGTCATGATTGATAATAGTATCCCTTGATAAAATGCCCTCCAGGCTTGATCCACAGTCATGTCAACAGCACAGAATTGTTTAGAGGAGGGAAAAAATACCTATACATTCTAACACACAAATTTGCCTTGGTAAAATTGTGATTGTAATGAAATGAATACCCTTAAATGCACACCTAGCAAATTTAACTTAGAAATTTTCTTGAAAGGGATTTATTCATGAAGAAATATACCTATGTCCAAGCTATGTATTCAGCATTCATACACTGATGTGTTATTTCAATAAATATGATTCTTCAGAATAACATGTGGAGCCATTTCCAACATAAAACCCAAGAAAACCTATTAACATCCAACTGTCCGTATATGGTTTGCATTTTCAGCACCAATGCAGATTTGCTTTTAGATTTTTCTTTGATTTAAAAAAAATATATATTTATCATTTTACTTGTGAGCCACCACAGTACTGTGCAAATGAGTGGTCATTTTATTGAGTGGTCAATAAAAATGACATACAGAATATGCACCTAATCTGTAAAATATTTTCAGCACAAATATTGGCACTTTGATTGTTCCCTCCCCACCCAACTCTTCCCTTCCTTGATCAAATTATGATAAAGAAAGCAAAATATAAAGCGGTTTTGTCAGTATGCTATACATATATACAGTCTGTTCTTCATCCTAGAGATTTGTAGTCATGCAAACAAGTAACTTGCCACTTTAAGGACCCTTAAAATACACTTCGGGCACAACTGTTTCCTCACCATAACAGGCATTACATGCCAAGAAATGTAATCCCAGATTACTTTGATTAGAGGCTTCCCATTGTAAAAGAAAACTTCCCAAGAGTTGCAGCTATACAAAAATTATCAAGAAACCCAAACCTAGGATTTGATATGATAACGCCCATAGTCACAGTGGCATTCTTTATAATCCTCCCCATTCACCTCTTTAACAGATGTTCCAGATTTCATGTGACAATCAAATCATAAACAGCTGCCTTCTTGGGGATCCCTTAACCAGAATGGCATCTTTGAGGTTGCTGCAAATTCTAATTATAGTAAAGGGATTCGGGATGAGGGCTTTTTAGGATCTACAAGGCATAACAAGGAAGTCTCATTTCCAGAACTGGCTTAATATATTGTGTAAACCCAGCCACTATGGTTATAAATCATAGTTACAACATAGTATTCTCCCACCTCAGCCAGTTACATTTTATTTTGTAAGATGTGGTCAAATGAACCATGTCTTAGCATGACTTATCCACTCTTTCAATAAAAAGAGTTTCACAGGTTTATGTAACAGCCTTCTTTAATCACTGTACTCCAGTATTAGACTATAGTTTTCAAAATTTCTCACCAGAAGGGTTAAGATAACTGCAAAGGATGAGAATTGGGAAAGCTGTCTGAATATCCAACTCTACATAGAAATGATCATATGAAACACCATATCACAGGTAGCTTTAATTCATTTCAGCACTCAAACCCTTTCCACAGATTCCCTGGTGAAAACAAAACAAACTTCCAGTTTATTCTTTAAATAAAACAAAGAAACCTTCAATTATAGGAACTACTCAGTTTTGCTATAATTCCAAAGTCTACCAAACACAATCTGATGTAAGAGACTTGCATATAAATTAAGATATTCCCATTCCTGGCAATTATATCAGGTACAAGCAAAGCTCAACGATATTCTCTGCACAAACTCTTAATTATCCCCAAACTTCCTTCACTCTGTGCCTGCCATATAATTTTGATAGGAAGAATAGATTTATTTTGTTACTAGAAATGTGCATGGATATACTTGTAGTTCAGAATCTACATTCTGGTCCTCAGTGTTGTCTCTCATACAAAGGTAACAGCCTTGAAAATAAGCTAACAAAAATTGCAGGTTTACATATTTTTAACTTGCCTACTAAAAAAGTACCAGACAGGTTTCAAAAAAGGAGAAGCTACCTCCTCTGAATTGAACCTGGAAATGGAAGCTACATATATGTTAGTAAGTTAATAACCTTGGTTAAAATGCTTCTGCTCAGGAAAAAGACTGTTCCTTGCTAGTTACTGAGAATCTCCCACTCCCACCCCCACCCCTCTGCTTACTTACCTGCACAGAACTGCAGGTTGACTTTGGAAACTAGGCAAATTGCTAAATACTGGATGATTACTTATATAGAATCTGCATTTTTTACTATTGCTTTTCTTGATCTAGTCTTCCAGGTAGAATCCTATAGATATCTATTCAGATGTAACTCAAATTCAGACTGTTTATAGTTATAAAAGCCAAGTTACCAGGGAATTATGAAAAATATGACTGTATACATCTGGTGGGCGCTAGCCTGGAGAGAGTTAATGTAGCTTCAAAAAAAAGATAGACACACAAGTTGTTACTAAATATAGGCTTAATCAGAATAATTAAAAGACGGAGCACATCACCAGTACAGGTTCCTTAGAATCTATAAACAAATATCACCTGTAGTTTATAAAAGGAATGTATGTGTCATTATGAGAACCGTAAAATCTAACAGTACTCTAAAACAATATATCTTGAGGAACGTACATTTTCAAAACTGTGATACTATACAAGTACACATTGTAGAAGTTAGAAAAATGGAAGATCCCTTTCAAATATTTTCTATGTACTTTCACAGAAGAGAAAGCCTACAAATATATGGGTAGAAATTGTTGGGTCTATAAATTGGAGCAAGCAGAATTAATGCAAAACGGTAACTTTGTACAATATTACAGTAGTTCCCTTTTGTTTCTTAGGCTACATTAAACTAGGACAGAGAATAATTGAAATTGTACTTATTTTGGTGTCTAGATGGAAAGGAATCCTTATTGCTGCTGAATTACACATAACCAAAAACTCAACAATGCAAGGCTTATAAAGTTTTTGTTTTACTCACAAGTGAAGGCAATTTTGAGATCAGATTAAATAAACATTTATGAGATACATTTTGCCTTGGTTTTCTTGTTTCATTCTACCATCTGCAATTTACTTATAATTCTCTTTCTCTTTAATGGTTAACTACAAGCCACCTGCCCCACAGATTAAACATAAGACTTTCAAGAGAATTGGCACACCAGAACTTTTGCAGAACACAAAAGCAGAGTTATTAAACAAAACATCCAAAGAATTCAATAGCTTAATAATCACTGAACTGTGGTTAGAGCAGCATGAGTATCACTAAATATAAAATGCAACTCTATGAGCTTGTCCTCAATGAAATTCCAATGCAACATCTAACAGAGATAGGTATCCTTTCAAGAAAAAAAAAGTTTCTTCTCTACCCTGCAGACCTTTAGATATGTTTGTGACTACACTGGCTGAGGATGAGAGGACAATAGCCAATGTATTTTGGGGGACATTGGATTGGAAAGGTATACCAAGAGGCTACAAAGTTCCAGGGAAAAAGACAATTGGCCATCTTTATATAAAAAAGAATATCAAACACTTTATCCAAAATGCATGCTCTTTTGTGAATTAGTAACTATAGACTGAAATCACAATACCTGTTGATGCCAGTCCTTGACTGAATGTCTCTTAGATTAGCAGTACATTAGTTATCCAATTAGCCTTGGATAACCCTGGCTCTTCTCTTCCATATCTGTTGTCCACTCTCTCCAGAGAAATCCACCTGCTGCTATGCTGGTTGCTTTTAGCACTAGGGAAAGCCTTTACAGTACTCCTCCTTTGTGACTTTGCTTTAAAAGCACTCTTTCAAAAGATGGCTGTTCTACTTCTGCTTTTTCTCTTTGATCTATTTTTCAACTTTGTCATTTATACTGATGACTTAAAAAAAAACCTGTAGAAAGAATTAAACCCAAAACAATCCGGAGATCTTTTTAATCCCAAACTGAAAACAAAGTAGGAGTGGGCATTTGTTTATTAATCTAAATGAGGTGCACCAACGAGGAAATAACCCCTCTAGATGTGCGTAAACAATAACAACAACAACAACAACAAAAGCCTTCATGATCTTCAAGGAGTTTAACCGGATAGGGGTGGGTGGGGGGTTAATTAGGACCCCTATGCATGGAAGCAATCCCAGGGTCTTCCGATAGAAAAAAAAATCGAAAGTCACAAGTTCAGGCTAAGTTTTGTTTAGGTTTTTAAATACCGATGCAGAAAATCTACAGGGTTGGTTCCCCAAACTCCCAAGTCACCCTTCGTTTGCTCTTCACTTTCCCTGCGTCATCAGGCGTTCAGCCCCATTCTGGAGGGTCAGCCTATTTCGCCGGGGACTCCCGAATTCATCTGAATGTTCCTCTGAAGCCAATACACCGTCGTTAAAATCGAACCATTGTCAACTCGTATATTATTGGCGGGATAGGAAAGGGAAAGAAAGGGCGGTTTTACACCAATTCACACGATTTTCCAATGGAATCCACACCCCACCCGCACATCGGAACTCGCTTTGGTGCCAAACGGCTTCTTACATGTGACCGAGGCCTCAGCACGTGCAAACACAGGACTAATATGTAACGAGCAACTATTTATTAAGCGATTTCCTGTCTCTATATAGCCGCCTCGCAACTGTGAAACGAAGGCAAATCAACACAACACAGCTTCTTTAAATAAATAAATAAATAAAAAAGAAGCTTTGCTCCAATCCGGATTCTTTCTCCAGAACAGAGCTACGCACAGCACATCAGCTAAATTAAAACATCTCCCGAGAAACAGCTATTACTGTCTAGCTCTGAAGAAAATCAACACCAGACAGCCCCTCCTCACCACACGGAAACAATCCACAATGAACCAGACTGCTACAGTTTTCTCCATCGCTTTCGCCTCTCCGCATCTGACATTAAAAGCCTCGCTTTGGAATAGTGCAAGCCACCATCCGTTCCTGACGTCTGTAAACTAGATTATAAAGGAAATATTCACTTACTGCCTGCCAAATCGTCCTTTTGTTTGCTGTTTTCCTCTTTATGCGATCGGAGGGGCCGCGTTTTCTTGACAATTAAGCTTTCCAAGCGCCTTGTTTATTTCCCTAAATGAAGTTGTTTTCCGAAGCGAAGGGCTGAGCTGGGCGCTGCGCTGCGATCTGCTGAGTTGTAATATGAGTTTCCTGGAATTACTCACTCACAGGATTCTTTTCATTCATAAAAACACAGTCATACAATGACATCATTCTTTCCCCTCCCTCCCCATCTTGGTGAAGGGCACAGACTGAAGAATGGTGAAAGGAAGCTGCCATCTTGGTACTGGGCATTTATTTTTAAAGGGACCATACCAAATGTTTTACAATTGGGTAGCTAGCCTTCAGAATCAATGCCTTTGCTACAAAGAGATATTTCTGTGCAAAAATAAAACGCTGAGGAATGCTAACCTAAGCTACTACCCAAACTGTATACATTTTGTTTATATCGGGAGGTGTCAATTTACATGATCACTAATTTGCCCTAGATCAGTGTTTTTCAACCTTGACAATTTTAAGGCATGTGGACTTCAACTCCCAGAATTCCACAGCCAGCAATGCTGGCTGTGGAATTCTGGGAGTTGAAGTCCACATGCCTTAAAATTGTCAAGGTTGAGAAACACTGCCCTAGATCCACTGCAGAGCAAGGAATCTACCACATAGCATACCAAAGCCCTTCAGGAGACTGATGCTTGCTGGAACCATCCTGTTCAGGCCCCATACACAATGTAGTCTTATGCATCTGCCTTCATCATTTGTAATGTTGCGCCGTCCAAAACCATTACTGGGCAGAAAATTAATTGGTAGAACCTTTGGGTCCTTCTGAGCAGATTCTTCAGAGCGATGCCCTCCCTGGCTCTGAGAGGCAAAAAAGAAAATGCTATTGGCCATCCATCACTTCTTTCAGTGATGGGCATTTTCATAATACTGCCACAATTTATTTTTACAGGTAGTCCTTTACTTACGACTACTTGTGGGATCAGGATTTGCATTGCTAAGCGATGTGATAATAAAATGAGACATCATTTGACTGCGTCATCTAGTGACGGCAATCCTGGCACTCCCTGATGCAAGAGAATGCAACCAGTCGTTAGCCCAGGACCAACCCCAAGCCTCGGTAAAGGACTCCCTCCAAATCCCTCCACCTGCCTATCTCTCTGTCACGTATTTCTGTCCTTTTGGCTGCCTTGCAACCCTGCCTTGCAAGATGGCAAGCAGTCCCAGAACTGCACGGTTCTTAGGGTTGCTTGCCAGGTCCTGTAAAGGGGGGAAAAAATAAAAAAGCAAAAAGCATCATCATTAACAGTTTGTGAGGCTTTGCAGTTGCACTTCCAACACAAACTGCAGAGTGTACACTGTGCCTCCGGAAAGGCTGTGTCACTCTGGACACCTCTGCTGCCATCCCAAACAGCATCTCCCACACAGTCTCCACATTTGCCTGGGGCGCACCACTGGCTCCCTGGCCTCACCCAGTGCTAGAGAGTACCACACCTCACCATCCTGCGGCCTTTTCCTGGCCAGGACTGGCAAGCTCTGTTTGGCAGGCCAGGGATTGCTACACTACTGTACTCACTGTATGCCTCCCAGGACTGGGCCCTTGCCCAGCTCCTGGATGCCGGGCCGGGAGAAAGAGAGCGGTGAAGGTTAGTGAGGGCAACGATGGCAACAGAGGAAGGTGGCAGGGTGCAGGGCATCCAAAAGGCAGATGGAGGAATTGAAAAGCCCCTGTGGAGGAGGATAGGCAGATGGGGGTGTTGAAACTCCCCTGCTCCCCTGTGGTTGTAAGTACAGGTGGGCTATAAACCACTGTAATGCTGGGCACCCATCATAAGTCCCTTCATTTAGTGCTGTTGTGACATTGCATGATTGCTGAATGAATGGTCACAAGTCAAGGACTATCTGTATATAAGACTCAGTGAAAATCTGTTATATTTGCTTTCGTTATATGGGTAGTCCTTGACTTACAACCATTTGTTTAATGAACATTTGAAGTTACAATGGCATGGGAAAAAAGTAAGTTATGACCAGTCCTTGCACTTAGGACCATTGCAGGATTCCTCACAATCACATAATCAAAATCTGAGTGTTTGGCAGCCAGCATGTATTTAGAACAGTTGCAGTGTCCTGGGGTCATGTGATCACCATTTATGACTTTCCCTTCCAGCTTCCAACAAGCAAAGTCAATGCGGGAAGTTGGATTCACTTAATGAACATGTGATTCACTTAACATCTGCAGTTATTTGTTTAACAATTGTGGCAAAAGGGTCATAAAATCAGACTTGAGTCACTTAACTGTATTGTTTAACCGTGAAAATTCTGATTCCAATTGTGGTCTTGGTTAAGACCCTGTATTCAATTAGCATTTGCTAGAAGCACTATCACTGTTCTAAGAAAGCAAAAAAATCAATTTCCAGACCCCTAGGTGGCCTGGAGTAATTTGCTCTGCCTGACTGGTGTGAACTGAAAGAAATTATACCAGATACATGAAACCTAATGTACTTGAAGATAAACTAGAAAAAGCTGAAAAGTAAGATGTGAATTCTGAAATTCATTGCACATAGAAAACTACCACATTCCTTCACCACATTAATGCTGAGTTCTGAAACAGAATCTCTAAAATGATTTGAAACATTTTTATTTCTTGTTAGAAAGATATAAACATTTGAATGGATATGCATAGATGAATTCAAAATTACTAATTTAAAAGGAAATAGACTTTTGACTTTCTTCTGAATAAATATACTTAAGACTACCCTGTTAAACATCCTATGGATAGAAATTACAATAATGATAGTGAAAGACAATGCATACAATGCAGATGAAAGACCCTTTAGATTAAGGTCACATCTGCACAATGCAATTTGCATATCATGACCATCTGGAAAAGAAGTTTTATTGGTCTCCCTGAACTCTGTTCACACTTTGATGAATTAATAGAGGCTATTGTCCTTCAGTTTTCAAGAACATTTTGTTATATACTTTTTGCTGATCTAACTATTCAGTGTTAAAGAGGCCATGTGAGCATCAGCAAAAAAACCTGGAATGGGGATGGGGGAGGAATGCATAATAAAGAATACAGATTTTAATTAAAATGCATGTCAGTGTGATGCAGTGAGTAATAGCATTGGACTAGGGATGGGAAACTCCACTTTCACTCTCAGTCATGAAAATTTACTAAGTTCGTCTCTCAGTTCAAGTACTTGCACAGTAGTTGTGAGTACAAAATAAAAACAGATTCCAGGTGCATCCATAGGAGTTGAAGTGCTTTGAGAGCTCAAGGAAGAAAGGTAGAGTGTATAATGTAATTGATAAATACACTTTAAAAAATCACCTCTAATGTTCACCCAAGCACAGAATTTATATTTAATAACAAACTACTGTAATAAGTAACTAAATAAAAATAACATGCAATTACTACTATTTAAATAGTAATATAGTATCTCTGACCACAACAGAGAAAGCTGTAATGAAATGAACTTTGTATTAATTTGTGTCTGTTTGGGGGCTGTTGTGCTATGCTGCTCAACACAATGAAAAGTCCTTGCTCTTCACCTGATTTTCTTTAAACCAGATTTGAACTCAGAAGTCCTAGAAGATGGAGAGTTGTCCTCTGATGCATATCAAAGTCTTTTGGTGGAGTAGGGTATCTGAATAATCAAACAAGAAGTCTACTACTTAAAGATAAAGAAATCATGTCTGTAGTTCATAGGCTTAAAGATGAAGAGGACACGGTAGGACCAAACTGCTAAAGGCTTTAAAGGACAAAATCAGTACACTGAACTGTATCCAGCATCCTACACAAAATAAAATCCCAAAGTAATGCTGTAATGAACTCTTGTGATCTACAGTAGCAAAAGACTGGATCAATATTTCTCTCAGAACAATAAGTATAGCTTCAAGTGTCTTGCTTCAGAACAGATATTTCTATAAAAAGGATGAACCTTAGTTATTATCAATTAATATTGGTGTAACCAATACCCCATTGAGTCACCATTTCAGAGATACATTATTTCCTTTCTTAAACAGAGACACAGAATGACCAAGGATAGGCAAAAAAGAAGTGTGAGCAGGAGTGATTTCCTGCTGGCTTCCCCACTGAGTTTTCTCATGGGAATCCTGCCAAGAGTGTCAGAAATCTTCTTCCCTTCCCTTTCTAGCAGGCAACTTAAGTGGCTTCTGCTGGCTGGAGAAGGAGCAAGGGATTGCAAGACTTGCTGGAAAACTGTTATAGAACCCTGAAAATGAAGATGACATGACTGCAATAGCAGTGCAGCAGCAGCCAGTAGCATTGGAGCAGCCACAATTTCCCCAAATTTCATTTTTTCAGGAATAATGGGTCCCAGATTTTAGACACTTTCTGTAAATTAGTCCATTGGAGATAGCCTTATTTCAGAAACTGTTGCCCTCTACGCACCATTTCACCCAGTTAAAGTTCATGATGAGAATTCTAGTAGCATATAGATATATTAGATTTGTACTACTACTAAATTCCAAAATATATCAGATTGCAGTGTTGGCGCTTCATCTTTTAAAGCAGGCTATGGGAAACTGTTTCAACAATAACAGGTTTTCAGAATGAATGGGTTGTTTTCCAAAGCACTGCAATTTACTTCTAAAGGGTTTCTATTGTTTCCTCTGAAAATGTTTGAATAGCTCAAGGCTTGGCACTTGGATAGATCTGTTTGAGTCCACCTTTTCTAGTGTTGGAATACAGTACATCTGTAGCTAGCATGCCCATTATGGAATGCTTTACATTTTTCTTAAAGAGGACTGTGGTCTTTTATAGCCTCAGAAATGACATTCAATGCTACAAAGCAAGAATAGGAATATTGTGTAGGTAAACATCTAATATTCAAAATTTGCACCCAGACTTGCCTCACTTCTAGACATGGCTAAGAAAATGTTGCTATTTAAACTCAACCAACAGGTTCCATTTCTTCATACCAAACAACTTTGTTTTGCTTTTTAAAGTTCAGCTTCATTCTTACATAATAGTAACATAAAGTTAAAGACAGGAATATGTGTAAGTAAATGCTGGCTTTTTTGAAGGATGATTTTCAT